AGGTCATGTTTGGAAAGTCCATGGAAAACCAGTGCTGAAGCAACCCCAGGCAGGTGAGTAATTGATAAGGCATCATCCCACTTCCCAAGGCCTTTTCTATCCACAATAAATTGAGTGTATACACACATATACATATAAAAATAAACATATGCTATTGTAATTGCTATAATCTTGCTGTAGTATTATATAAACATAGAGACAACTTTGCTGTCCATCTTAGGCTTAGATCCATAGTAACTAAAAAACTAGGTCAGAACACATTTCTAGCCTAGTTCTGGTCCAACAGTTGTCCACACTATACTCCTCACAGGAATATGCAATGGTTAGTAACAGGTAACTACCAGAGGAAATATTTCTTCCAAATATTTGTTGGCTGTAGCCAAGTATAAACTAGCAAATCCCTTGCACAACTACATACCTGTGAATACTAACAACAACAAAAGCAGAGACTATGAGACAGACATGTTTTAAATGTATCACTATTCAATAATGAGTGTATTTCTTAGGTCATGCCTAACTAAGCAGAAAATATTGATTTGATCTATAGATAAAAGATTTATAAAAACAAACCAAACAGCTGCTTCAAACATCAGGCCTGGAATTATATTCAGAACATGCTTGACATTCTAAAGGGCTGCAAGCAATAAACTTAATAAATTTAAACAAAATAGTCAATGTCAGTGCCCAGTTTTGCATATAAGATGACATACCACGAGGAATGGCCTTTGCATGACACAGAACACCATGCATAACAGTTAATGCTCTGGTGGAAGGATGACAGTTTCAGAAAAATGGTCTTTCCTTTGTTTATTATGTGCTAATAGAATCTTCAAAGTCCCAACCAAACCAGAGCAAGGAAGAAAGGGATCACGAGGAAACATGCAATTACTTTTGTGCCATTCAAAGGTGAAAAATATCACTCCCTTTTTACCTTCTGAAGTGTCAGATTTAAGGTTATAATAATTCAAGCTTTTAATTTAAAAGCAAAATGCTCAGTTTGGCTTCTTTTTTTGCCACAAATACTCCCCCAAGTCACCCAGAGATCTTTCTGAAAGCAGTTTCTCAGTAGCCAACCTAGTCATAACAAATTCAATTCACCTGAAGGCTAAGTAGGAGTGTAGATATTGCTATTCACAATCCCAACACATAAAAGGAATTCAACTGCAGACAATCCTGGCATAATTGGGGCACCATCCCAGCAGTTTTCAGGAAAAAGTTAATGAGAATAGTGATGGTTCCTTCATCAGGTTTTCTGGATTGAGCGATTATGCATTAATTTTTCAATCATTTTCAAAGAAGACAAAGCAAATTAATGTTTTGAATAATCTTCTCATTAATCATGTTCTTTGGCCTCTCTGTTGTGATGCTGAGTGCTTAGTTTTAATCCTTCAATGACTGTAATCCACTTCAAAAAACAAACTCCTCAGCTAACAGCTCTGTAAAATCTCATTAACTCAAGTTTGAATATAAAAGCTGTGTCCCCCACAGCGTCCTCCCTCCCTCCTTTCCCAACCCTTCCACGTGAAAAAAATGCCACAGAGAATCTGGTTTTTTTTTCTTGGGGTAAAAACATCGTATGGAAGACAGACACTTCTGCAGCAAGAAAGGTCTTTAAGAGAACATTTATGAGTTTAAGAGCAGACCCTGCCCCAATGGGAGACAGAAACTGAGCTCCTGTGAGAAACAACTTGCATTCTTTGGAGAAGGAATTTTTTTAATTCGATGTAACTAATTCCTTGCCATTTTAAAATGGTGGCCTGTTTCAAAACCAAGGAATTTGAGATGAATGTGTTATATGGGAAAATTGAAAAAAAATCTTTCACTTACCTGGCTATAGTCTTCAGACACTAAAATAAATCCATTGTTATCTATTAAGTAACAGTTGATTGTCTGAAAAATAATAAAGTACTATTTTAATTTTCGATTTTAGGATAGAGCCATAAGTTAATCATGTACTTTACTTCTAAGTGAATTCTAAATTGATAAAACCTTCAGGTCGTTACAATGGTTTACATAAATTCTAAGTGTAGTCTCACATAACTTATGGGATGCTATTTGATTTAATTTTCATGCATTTGTTTCATGCAAAACAAAACAAACTTTTAGAGAAAGGGAGGATATAAGATAATTCTAAACAAACTTAAGAAAAACCAAAGTCAGTGTTTTTTGTAACCCATTCTCAAGAGTTTTTCTTATAACTAAGTTTGCAAAGGCACAGAACTTTGGAGTTCCTGGTGGCTTCTCCTGTGTTTGGTGAAAGATATCAGCACAAGGTCATTACTCTAACGATGTACTAATGAAAACACAGTGTCAGCCTGCAGAGCCAACAGGGGACCAGGTAATATTTTTTAATTTGTTCTTTGGGGGATGGGACCACAAACTTCTGTAAAAGAGGCCCCACAGGTCTCCTAAAGCTTTTCAAATTGTGTTTTTAATTGGGAACTGGATTCAGAGGTAGGACTGTTAGCTTTTTGTAGGTCAGACGTATGAACTGTATAAAACAAGGTAAACCCAAATCAGTGCTTCCCTCCATACACGCATGCACTATTTTAACCTCATGTGAATTACTTGCTACAGGCAAACTTTTAATTACTGCATTTCAGAGTTTAAACATAAGGTTCAGCTCAAACCCTGATATAACTCTGTTTCTCTTTGGTACTGCCAAATACCTACCTCAGTGTTAAATCTTTGTCATATTTCTATTGTTGGTCTAAATCAGAAAATATTTTATCTTCGTTTATTGAACTTTCTGTGACATTTGTGTACAAAGAAAGAGTAAGTAGAATTACTTTCAATATAGGAATCCTCATGACTTTTTTTTTAATTCAAAACCTTTTCTGCTGCAAATGGGAAAACATATGCTAAAATATACTTTCTGCTACACTCTGCACATCCAGCAAAATTTCTTTGCTGTTTTAGGGAGGAAAGCAGCCCAATGAAGTGCAAGACATGAAAATCTAGTCTGATATTTCAAAAGATGCCTATATATGTCTAATATTAGCACTGTTCCATGGGGCCAAACAGGAGAGATTTGCAGAAATGCTGTCTTGAAATAAAGTTTTTAAAAAACAAGAAATCCCAAATCAGGCAAAAGTTTGGAACGAACACCATTCCCTAAAGTAAATGCAGGATATTCATTCTAATAGGAGAACCTAAGCTACAGGCACCCCCAGTGACAGAAAACCTGTCAAAAAGGAAGTTGAAACAACTCATTTCCAACCTTTGATCTGCTAGAAAGCCAAAAGTTGGCAAATGCAATGTGAAAAGCTGATGATGCTGGCAAAGAACAGAGTGGAGCTAATGCATTCAGAAGAGGCAGCTACTTAACCTCAATGGTGTGTGAAGGGTGGAATTTCAGAAGTAGTCTGTAACACCAGAACACTGCTCTCCCCAAAGTCAATCATAAACCTCCCACTAACTTTATTAGGAGAGGAGCTAAGTCAACAAAGGGCTCTTCTGAGGATACATACTTGCAATCCTCATGCATGAAAGATTAATCTAAAGATAGTGCTTTAGAAACAATATTTCTCCATAGTATAGAAAATAAATAAAAGTAGCTACACTCAGTGTAGGCTTAATTTCATAGTTTATGGCTTATATACAGTTGGGAAAATACTGGCTTGATTCAAGAACTAGTGGCCATGTCTCAAATACCTAAGACATAGTTATTCACTAGCATTGTTCAGAACTTTAAAAGATACTATTTTCTTGGCATTATTATTGGAAACAGGCATAATGCAAGAAGTGGAATCTGTATCGTCTGGTGGAATGTGAAGATAAGAGGGTTTCAATTTCAATCCATTTAAAAAACATTAACAAGGGGAAAATATTCATTCAGGAACATTCATTCACCACTTGCCAGCAAGATAAATAACTTTCAGTATTCAGCACTGCATTAAAGAAACAGTTTGTAACTTAACTTTGGCACTGACAAAGGACAGCAGGGTGCATTTACTTGTCCAATATGTTAGCAAGTCTCAAAGAGAAGATTTCTGATATGAGATTAATGCATGGGATAATAGCATTTGCATAGACTAGACCAGTCTGAAAGAAGTCTAATTCACAGTGTTTCACAGGTATTGGAAGTGGACTATGTTCAGGTTTGCCCAGAGGTTCAAGTTCAGTGAACTTCAGGTTTCAAGGGGAACATTCCATAGGTGGAGAGTCTCTGAGCTTGTAAAACAGTAGGCATGAAGTCCAGAATAAACACAGCAAGAATGTTGACTGAGGTCTGAGAACACATTTGAATTACAGTAACTTTGATCAAGTTCAAGTCCTCTCTGTATTTTTCACAGCTCCAATATACAATAACAATAATGGAATGTAATAAGGGTTAAGAAACTAAAAATGAAAAGGAAAGAAAACAGAACATTAAAATAAAAAAGCTCACAGAAAAAAAAGAAGGATTTCTAATCAACAGGATGTCTGTATTTCAGAATCAAAGGTATCACATACTCATCAATTAATTCCCTTATTTTTAATTTTTAATTTGTGACAATATTTTACTATTAGTAGTCATTAATATTTAATTATTATTGTGCCACTCCATTTGCATAAAAATTTTAATATTTACTTTTAAATGCTTTAATTTATACCACAATTGTTCAGAGGATATTTTTTTGCCATTGAGAGAAGCTGTGAAAGTTAACAGATTCAACAGAGGAGCTGTGATTTGGATGAATCCTATCAATGGTATGTGTTGTCATTAAGAAAATGTCTGGAATTTATATCACCATGGTTCACACCATTACTAAATTTCTACAAAGCAGCTGAAAAGACTTTAAACTACTTGTGCTTTTCTAAAATCAACAATAAAATAGTACAAAAATGCCTTAGCACCACTTCAAATTATTTCCCAAACTGGATTCACAAAGCAGAAGTAATTGTAACACGTTTGAGGTACTTGTGTCAACCTTGAAATTAAATGGATGTAGGCAAGCAGACATAAGAAAAGTATTACTATTGTAAGGGACTTTTAAGAAATGTTTGTTTTGACTTTGCCTGGCTTTGATGACTTGGTGTAGAAGACTGAAAACATCGACCCCTGGACTGTTTCCCTCAAGGCTTGTTGAGTCACAGGATGTCTCCAGGGGCAGAGATAAGGAGGCTCCATTGTCCACCACCCAAACCCTCCAGCTAAGAGACAACAGCCTACATTCTGAGGTAAGGAGGCACCACTGTCCACCACCTACACCCTCTGGCTGCTGAGCCATCTGCCAGACAATGACCAACATCCCTTCCAGCTGCCACAAGGCACCACTGTCCACCACTGCCCACGACTGACATCAGAGGCTGGAACTGCTCAACTCCAGGGAAACTGACCAGTCAGTGCCTGACAGAGCCCTAGGAAAAGGACCAGTGTCCGGAGAACTGCGCACACTCATCACCAAAGAAAAGAAAACTATGGATCATCAGAATGCTGCGGGACCAATGGTGGTGACTATCTCTGCTGCACCATCCCAAATCTTGCTTGCTTCCCCCCTTTTCTGTTTCTATCTTTCCTATTGTGCCTTCTCTCTCCCCACTGAGTAACCAATAATCAAGTTTCACTCCCTAAAGGTATTTTGACCTCATTTGTGTCTTAATTCACACTGGGGTAATCAATCTCCCAATGTCTTATCAGCCTGGGACAACTATCTAAATAGCCTCATATTTAGCAGGTGATTCCCAATTACACCAAGAGATCATAATGTACAATGAGAGATTCAAATTAAATTCATCAACTTTATATTCTACTGCAGTAGAGGTATAAATAAGCAAAAAGAAAAATTGTTAAACACTTACTTCATCATCACAACTTATAGCACATCTCCCATCAAGAGAGGCACACTAGAAATGATATCAAAAATCAATAAAATATTTTCATTTCTTATTCAAAGATCACAAAACATAACATTTTAAAAATTCATATGAGCAGAATTATAAAGGAGTTGATATTGGTTACATTTTTATCTAACATTGTTCTAAAAATGACTAGGAAAGTTTTAAATCTGTTCACCAAACCTCTTCTGTTCTTGCCTGCAGAGAAAAGGTGCATTCACACTGTAACAATTTCAACTGCTTTAAGCAGCACAATCCTCTCCATGTACTAGAAGCTTGGAGACCATTCAGGGACATGGAATGCTTTTCCAATAGGGGTGGGGTCAGACCTGCATTTTAGGTTTTTTTTTTCTGAAACGGTGTAGGTCCAGTGGATTCTCAAAGTAGGGATGGCACCCCCTAATCTTTAGAAAGTACCTCATCATCCTCTTCAATGAGAAAAAATTCTATCTCCTGAACATTTTATGTATAGTTCATTGAAGACTATGAATGTCAACCATGATTCAGTAATCTAGTTTAGTTAATTATCTATGTGGTACTTCAGTTACTGAATATTAGAAGATAAATCTGCAGTAAGTGAGAAGATATGATTCTGCTGTCACCAAAAGCAAATAAATATCATGGGTTTATTTACTATTTCCTCTTTTTCTAAGGGAGAAAAATAACATACCAACAAAGTAATAATCTTTCTAATTGCATTCATAAACATGGGATCAAGCAATTATTTTTCACCACTGAATCCTCTCCTTTTTGTAATGACGAACTGGAATGTAAGCCAGAAGAGCAAGTCTTCAAATACATTGTCTCTTGTAATACATAATACAATGGTTTGCTTGTGACAAAATATTGCAGAACATCACCTGCACAGCTAAAAAGCTGTTGTGGATTCAATGACAAAGAAAACTTCAATTTTAAATGTACCTGTCTGCTTGCAGTCCAAAATTTCCGTTGGAAGAATTCAAGTTTCATCTGGATACCTACAGCTGGAAAAGACATAAATTAAAAATAAAATAAATGAACCCAGCATGCTTAATTCCTTCTCAATTATTATTCAAAACTACCCAGAAGGAAAAAGTCTTATAATGAAAAGAGAAAGTAAGACCTAAAATAAAAAACTGCAACTAAATAGATTGAAGAAACTATCATATATTAAGCCATTTGTGGTTTGGTTAAACATGAAGATGCTGCTAGCATAATGTGAAGACTACACAAGGCAAAAAATGTCATAGAAATTGCATGTCTTCATAATTAACATAAAAGAACCACAAGCAGAACATACTTATGTTCACATTGATCTCATTTATACTTCACTCGTACCAATATAATAGCAATATAATAGGGAACACACTATATGCTTTGTGTTGAAGCATATGAAGATTCGCTGAAAAACATGAAAATGTTGGTTTTGAAATCATTTAATCCATGAATTATCAGTGGAACACAAGAAGCATTAAAAATTTATTTGAAAAAATTGAAGTTAAGACTATTATGTGCAATTCTGTTAAAGTATCTGACAAATATTCCTGCGTTTCAGACTTTAAAGAAAAACTATATTAATGGTAATAGAGTTTAACTTCTAAAAATAATAACTCAAGATACAACTAGTTTAAACTATATATTTCTCATAATCTCAGGTGGGATTATTTTTTTCTGACTATCAGCAAACCTTTCTTCCAGCCTAGTCTGATGTTCCTGTCATTGTTTCTATTGAAGAATAATGCACTGTGGTTTGCATAAGCTCCAAAGGTAATTGAGTCTTCTGTTTTCATCTGCCCAAAGTAAGAGAATTTAAAAAAACTCCAGCCTTAAAAGTCTGAAGATCTAACTCCTAGCAAATTCATTGATACAAAGTTTTGTTTAAAAACAAACAAAGTCTCAAAGAAAACAGTTGTTTTGGAAAACTGAATAAAAT